TGAGGTTACTTAAAATAACAGAGAAGGTTGCAACTGATAAGCAGTACCTAACATAATTGGCTGAGAAATAATATTAAGCATGATTCACAAACGTCAATGAAGAGAATCAATTCAAATCAATTCTTTCTTTTAAATGCAAGACCCTCCTGACATATAAGAATCCCCTGAAGTCAAATTTACATTTGCCAATAAGGTTAATTTTTTTAGGATTATTTAATCCTATACCTAGGACATAGCCATGTAAGAGAAGCCAAAAAGAAAAAGTACAACTGTCTGTTAGGAATATTAGCATTCTCCCTTGCCAATCTTGTCCAGCATTTTCTTTTCCATGATGGCCAGCCAAATATGAATGGAAAGCCATGAGCAAGACATGCAGGATAGAACAGGATGCCATCTTGCTTGGTTTCCCATCAACTAGTACTCAGAGCCATACTGCTTCCAATAATGTAGGTAATGTACAACCACTAAAACCGTATATTGATAACTTTTATCCTTCAGGAATTTGTGAACTAGTTGTGTACTAGTTGATGGAAAACCCTTTTTAAATTAGCCATCATAATCTCCATCATTACATCATATAACAACAAATTCCACTGTTTAACTATGACCTACTTACTTTCATCTGTCCTGAACCTCACTATTCAGCTTCACTGGACCATCCTGGGTTCTCTACTATGAGAGATGGAGGAAAAAAATGCCTTATCCATGTTCTCAGCATGAATATTACCTGCACCTTTGTCATGTTCCCACTTCATCCTTCTTAAATTTTAAAACCACGCTAAATACCGTAATCTTCCCACACATGCAAACTGCCTCAAAGCAATTATATATGTCTTATTTGGGACAAAGTAAATACTGCATAGCTGTCCATCAGGAAAATCGTCATTATATTTAAAATGCAGTTTTCTACACTCATCACCTATCATATGACCAATAGAACTATTGCCAAATTTGAATCCTTAATTCAAAGTAGCAGTAAGTAGACACGAGTGACACATATCCAAAGTTCTCTACTTGCTTAAACTCAATGGTATTCCCACAGCTTCTCTGCATCTAAAAAGGTAAAGATGTCCTTGAGTCAAACTTGATTCCTGGTGATCACATGGACACAAAATATGAATTTATCTTGACAACTGTGCAGGAGTGCTTTCCCCCTGCCTTAGTCCATGATGTTTTTTTGACTTCTCAATCTAGCATACTTTCTTGGTATTCCCTGGTAGTCCTCCAAATGCTGGTCAGAGCTGACTCTGCTGAGGCTTCTAAGCCCAGACAAGTTCAGCTAGGTTCTGCCTTCTACTGAAACTTACATCAGAACTATTCAATTGCTTAAGAAGATCCAGGAGGCATCTTTGTAAACATTTGAATTAGCCTTCTGTTAAGAAAGGAGCAAAAAAGAGCACTTCCGATTAATCTGGTAAAACTTTCTGGAAAATTGCCAGACTGTAATTTTCACTCTTAAAAAAAACTTTAAATATTACATCACATAATAACTGTTACATAAATTTGATGTCACTTAATAAAGGCATATTTAAAAATAAACCAGGCTCTTCCAACCCCAAATTAGGCCACTGAATCAAAGAATGTTTGGAGGAAAACCAGAAGTAGCTCAGCAGGTAAAAAGAGCAACAGGCTCAATTTTGGTACTGAAAAGAAATTCCTGGGCTTAATGTGAGTTCAGGAGTGCTTTATTCTCTAATCCTAAGAGTACAGCTTGACCCTAAACACCTATTCCTTATTGGAATCCAGTTGTTAAATCATGAGGTTCGAG